TTATTTTTTTTTTAGGATTTGGGTGAATTTTATAATTTAAATATGCTTTTATGAACATGTACAGTTTAATTATTCTTTGTAAAATATTGAATTTGATGGTTTGATCAATTTTTATTTTTATTTTCTGTTATGATGTTTTTGTGAATGGAATGTAAATAATCAGCTCTTAGAGAGTGAGAGACGGCACCATCGTCGGAAAAAATAAAAAATTTTAGTATTTTTATTAATTTTGTTACAGGTTTTACTTTTTGCGACGACATTATACTGTCACAAAAAATAGAAATTTTATTATTTAAATTAAAAATTTTATTATTTTTTAATATTTTTTGCGACGGCATTACACCGTCGCAAAAAATAGAAAATTTTATATTTTTTATACTTTTTGTGACGGCACACACCGTCGCAAAAAACAGTGTTTTTTTTAAAGAAAAAGATTATTAGCGACGGTAATTTTTTGCCGTCTCAAATAACATTTTTAGCGACGGTAAAATAGGGCCATCGCAAAAAAGTCAAGAAATTTCAAACGTTATTAGCGACTGCACGGTGCCGTCGCAAAAAGGTAAAAAATGCCGTCGCAAAACATTAGCGACGGCACTTACCGTCGCAAAAACTCTTTTGCAACCCCTGCAGTTGCGACCCCCTCTTGCCGTCGCAAAAAGTCATTTTGCCGTCGCAAAAAGTATTAGCGACGGCATTAGGAGTATTAGTGACGGTATTTTACCGTCGCAAAAAGTCAATTTTTTTATAGTGCTATCTTTGTCAAAATCTTTGGCCTTCGCTTTATCTTTCTATCTTCATCTTTACCTCTCTCATTTTTCCCCTTCTACATCCAAAATCTGTAAAAGACAAAATAAGAGCATTAATAAAAGTTCATATTTTTTAATATTGCCAATAGCAACTGCAATACAAAAGTAGAACACACACTAGCACACACTAGCAGCTGGGCAAACACATCAGTTGGGCAAACACCACTGGTAATAATAAAAAAATGATCTACCAACTCTCTACCTCCTTTTTTGCCTTTTCTATTACAAATCAAAACAGATTTTTGCTTTAAATTGACCAAACCATAACATATTTTTGCTTCAAAACTTCACTTGTATATAAACCAATAATACCCAATAAATCAATCCATACTGTTTGAGGGGTGCTACGTTCTCAATGTGCCAATGAAACAAGCAGAATATATTGTCCACCGCAGAAAATAATCTAGCAGGGCAAGCATCACCAATTGAAAAAAAATTTAGGGCCAAGTTTTGGAAAGAATGAGAAAATATGAATAGTGGATTTGGTTTTTGTTCGATTTTTCTATTTATATATATATATACACACATGGCACATATTAATTGAGCATATAAATAAACTTAAGACATAATAAGAAAACTCAAGAAAAAAAATTTAAAGAAGTAAAAAAGTTGATAAGTTATTCTTTATGTGATTACCATTAAAGATCAATAATTAAAAATAAAAATAAAATACTCAACAAGAATAATATGTTGATCCAATTGAAACCCAAGAAATTGATATAAAAATGTTACCTACCCTCTAGCTTTAAATTCCAACCTCTCTAGCTAAAGTAGGAGGCTAAAATTATTATTATTTGTTAAAAAAAAGTGGAAACTCCAACCATCATCACTTCCTCAAACCACAAATGAAGAAAGAATAATACTAAGAATCATGAAAAATATGAAGAAAAGATCAACAACAGCTCATGGGTTTTCTTACTCAATTCTCAGGAAACATTAACAAGAAAAGAAAATAAAAGAAAATTTGTGCCATGTGGAACAGAACAGACGAAAAAATTTGAAATGCCAAGAAAATTTCAAAAAACAACCCACAAATTATAAAAAAAAAACAATGAACTATACTCATGTATGCATGTTGCACTTGCAAGTGTATAGGTATAAATGAAACAGAAAGAAGAAGTGTATATATGCATATATAAAAACACAGTAAAAGATAAGGAGAAGAGATTGAAGATGAGTGAGTAATTTGTACTAAGGAAGAAGTGCGCTTTGCTTGTGAGAAGAGTAGGCTATGAAACCAGGGAGTCCAAGATTTGATGGTGACAGAATGCGGATGGAGCGAAGAATACAAGTCTTGAATCAACGACCCATCTTTCAGAGCTGATGATTCTGAAACAGAGCTTTGACTCCTCAGACCTTCTGGGCTCTTTGCCACAGATTGATCAAACACTACCAACATTCTCTCTCTCTCTCTAAACTTCCTTATAATCACAAGAACAAAATCTCTCTCTCCATATATATATATATACATGCAGCATATATTTTCTTTGAGATTAATGAAAGAAAATGTTCTTTCTGTGTACAAGAAATCAAGCCCATAAAACCCAAGAAATTAAACCCATTTATGGCAGCAACACGAAATCGGACTCAAGAAATCATATATATATATATATATATTATATAATGAAGATTGAAGATTAGGTGAGAATGAAGATTGAAGGGACCACATCTTACCCCCCCTCGCCTCGCCTAGCCGCCGAATCGACGCCATCTGGCCCGTCGTCGTCGTCGTCCTCCGACTCTACTCCTTTCGTTTCGGCTCTCTCCTCTCCTCTCCTCTGTTCATGTTCTTCTTTGATGGTTAGGGTTCACATCGACGAGAGAGCAAGGTAAAAAAGAGGGGAAAAGGAAAAAAAAAAAAATTGAATTGAATTTAACACCAAAACGACGTCGTTTTTGAACGCCGCAGGAAGCGCGGCAGGAAACCACCGCCGAGGATCCGGACTCATTTCAAATAGCTGAGTAAGGGAGTTGGTTAAAGGGGAGTGGGTAGGCACAAAGAAATAGGTACTGCAAAATGTATTCAAAATACAAAATTCAATTGATAGCATATGGTGAAAGTGCACAGGGTAGTGTGTACGACCCTTCCACCAAGCCAAAAACTCTACCCACCTCCAAGTTCAAACCAATCACCAAAAGTAACAATAACAGGACTACGACTTGTGATCTGAAATAACAATAACTCAAGTTCATGAACAAATCAGTTCCTAAACTAAAATTAAAATCTGGGCACAGCTTCCTGCTAGTCCCTCCAATCACAAAAATCACACCTTGAGATGCTAATGACCACGACCCAAATCCTTTAGTCGAAAGAATCAAAGGTACCACATATTTGTTGTCATCAATTCAATGAAACTCAATCAAGCTTGTAGTCCCCATTAAAGGCTAGGTATTCTCATATCTGCAGTGTACAACTTCATGCTCATATATATTGGCATCCTCCACTGCTTACTTTAGGCAAGGCACCAGAGTCCCAATATCTTTGGTAAAACCTAAGAAGCACGGACACAGACACAGACATGGACATGGACATGGACACGGACACGGGACACGCACAAATAAATTCCTAAACCATATAGGTTCAGACAAAAGAGGAAAAACACTAGAATATTGGGCCAAAATGCATCCATGTTAAATAATTTTGTAGAAGATATCCTGCTATGAAAGATCTGACAGTACTCTCGAAAGTGTAAGTTCTAATAATCTAGTTTTAAATGAACATCCTTCCTCTTTGCTGGTTATGTCCCACTTGCATGGTCCCTAGTTCTCCAGCATCATACACTTTTCAGTGTCCAAGAATATGGCATAACCAAGGGTAATACGAAACAGCAATAGTACAATAATACAACATACCAGGGCTCCACATTCACTAAAACTTCCAAATCAACAACTTGAACATAACTCTTCACCTGCAAAAACAAAAAAACAAAATGCCATTAATCAAAGATCTTACACCCAAAAAGATCTTACACACACTTCCAAAAAACCAAAAAAATAAAAATCCAAGCAGCTCTTTCTTCTCTTTGTGGAAACCCTGAGTCTCTGTATCAAAAATAAACTCCCAGTATATTGATAGAGCAATTTGGTTTAAACACAAGAACACTTACTGGAACTATAAAATTGACTTCAACCCCAAGAACACTTACTGGAACTATTGAACTGACTCCAACCAACCCAACCGACATAATGGATTGTCAATTTGCCAGAACACTTAAGAAATCAACCCTTCCACAGAATAGTTAGGTTCCCATCGTTTGAATACTTTAAAACACAACTTGAGATTGATGAATTGAAATAAGCACCAGAAGACAAATCAGAAGCAAAGCAGCCCCTATGCCAAAACAACCTTCAACTAGGGGGTTTTGTCAGTTTGGAAAACTTGTTAAGAAGAGAACTCAATGAAGCTTCAAGACAAAAGTTAGGCATCAGATTAGTCTTTCATTAATCCATCACTAAGGTAGTTCCCACTTCCCAGTTATGAACACACACATTATTTAGGCAAGTTTGATAGTCAACCACTCTATTGAGAAATTGGTCCTTTCATCACACAACCATAAAACCCAATTATCTAACACAAGTGAATTATCATCTAACAATAGAAAAATTGCATCTTGATGAAGGTAAAATTGACAAAAGAAAGATCTTTATAGTATGCATATAAATTAGCAACAGCTACATCAGATTATAGGTACACTAATTTCATCCCAGACAAAAGTACCATCTAACAAAAGCCAATCTAACACCTTCTAAGACACAAACATCCATTTCTCAACCTAGTCTAATCTAAATAAACAAACCTCTAAATTAATAAATAAACTTACATAGCCATAATCTATGTCAGAACAGGCTATACAATACACACAACTAAAACAACCCAAAACAAATTGATGATTTGCCTTTTCCAATCTGATCTTCCCATCCAAAAAAATAAGGGAAAATCACCAATCGGAGCAACCAAACATAATCGTCAATCTGATAAATTCAGGGCAAATTAAGTCGAAGAAGTCGACGAAGATCAAACGTAGCATCATCATCGTCCTTGCTACTCAAAACACTCTTCTTAGAAAAGAAAGCTGGTAAAGGCAAAGAACTCGGTGGCGGCGACTCAATAATCACCGACCCAGCATAGAAATCGCCAAGCCTCATCTGTTTCGGCACCATCTCGGGCTCCGGACCCAGCCTAGCCGTCGAGGACACCAACAAATCGTCTAAATCTCCGGCCTCCTTCACCGGCGGCTTCGAATCATCGGCTCCCGAATCTCGACTCTTGAAAATCGTCAATTCCTCGCCACGTTTCAAAATCTTAACCTGTCCCATGACGAGGTTTTTGGAGGGCAAATTGTGAGACATGGTTTGTCCGGTTTTGTTGTTTTTGTTGTTGTGGGGTGTTTGTTTTCTACGATTGGATCTCGTAGCGTTAGGGTTAGGGTTAGGGTTAGGGTTAGGGTTTCGGGGAGGGCTCATTAGGGATTTGTGAGGAGGATCTCTGAGGCAATCTTGAGGGTGAAGGACGGCGAGTCCTCCCATGGGTACTACTGTGAAGGTGATTGGTGAGACAGAAAAAGCAATGATACCTCAGAAGAGAAGAGAAGAGAAGAGAATGCAGATCTCAATAATTTGTGATGGAACACTAGGATCTCAATAATTTATGATGGTACACTAGGTAGCATGGGTCTTGTAGGAAAAGGATCAATGAAATTGGGATTTATATAGAGGGAGTATTTATTTTGAGAAAAAACTTATAAATTAATTTTTTTTTAATTTATTATGAAAAATATATATATATAATAAAAAATATATAATATGACTTAAATAAGTTAATAAATTAATTTTTTTCTTTTCAAAAGATGTCTTAGTTATGTTATTTTTTTCTTTAATTATGATCAATTTTCATCTTTAGTTATGATATTATTTTAATATTTTAATTATTACTTTTTTATATTTAGTTATGATTTTTTTATTTTTTAATTATAATTCAAAAAATATGAAATTATATTATTTTTTATAATTATTAAATAAATATAATATACATTCTTAAAAAGTGTATATCATAGTCTTTCCTAGATATAGAATCTTGGGGGGTTTGATATTTTTTTTTTAAATTTATTTTTAAGATGCAGTAGCTTTTTAAATTTTTTTGAATGATTAAGAACTGGTTAAAAAAATCAAAATAGTAATGGAAAAATATTTAAAAAATTAGGAAATAGAAAAAATAATTATAAATTCATAAAAATATAGCACTTATTTATATAATTTAATACATAAATTACTTGTACTTTTATAAGTTTGTAATTAGTTTTTTAACTCCCCATTGTATTGATATTTTCCCAGTAGTGATGGTAAACCAATGAAAAAAAATTGACAATCGCCAAAGAGTATTTTTGACATATTGATTAAGAGTGGGCTTATGTTAAAAAATGTTTTGAAATATGTGAAAGTGTTAAAAAAGTATATTTTTTATAAAAAAAATATATATTGAATTCAATAAAAAAATGTCTCAAGTTTTTTAATTTTTTTTTATTGTAATTTAAGAGTATTTGTTAGTAAGATCTATAAAAAAAAATTATACAAAATAACGTGGGTTAAAAAAATGTTACTTTAAAATAAAATACTTGAACAATCTCTAACGGTGAATCAAAAATTTTATCAAATTTGAGTAAAATTTTGATGAAAATTTTGATTTGATATTGTTCACTCCAATGCTAAAATTAAAATTTTTTTCAAATTTTTTCACATTCCCGATTGTCCGAGAAGAAGTCCAGACAGATGTTCTGAAGGTCGTTCGGATGTATACAAAAAAACTGTCAAAATTACTCTTTGTGGACATCCGAGAGGATGTTTGGGTCAACAATAAATTTAAATTTGATGAAAAATGAAAGGCTCCTTTCATTTGATGAAAATTTGGGTTTTGCCTCTATTTAGTGAAAGGATTGGAACCCCTCATTTGGCATTTTTTTTCAAATTTTAAAATTGATAAAATATCTACTATTGGATTGGAATACTCTTATAAAGATGAATTTGTTTATAAAAATAATATTGTCACATTAATTTTATAATTTTTTTTATTATAAATGTACAAAATTTTCCAAACAAAGAAAATAATAGGAGTATATATATTTTTTAAACGGGTAAATTACAAATACACTTTCTGAGATTTACTTAAAATACGAATTGTCTCTTATGATTTTAAAAATTACAAATACTATCCTATCAGAATTTTTTATTTAACAAAATTAATTTAAAAAATTAAAAAAATAAAATTCTTAACCACTGCCCTATATAATAATAAAATTACCTGAATTATTAGTTAAAATAAAATTTTAATATTATTAAAAACTGTTAATTAATTTTATAATTTATTAATACAAAAATCTATTTGTATGAAATTAAAAATTTAATAAGACATGATATAATTTTTAAAATTATAAAATATAATTTATAATTTAAATAAACTTCAAAGCGTGTGGTAATCTACCCTCTTTAAACTCCATCCCCATGAAGGGCCTTAAGGCGGTGGATTGGCATGGCATGGCATGGCATGCCATGGCATGGGGAAGGCACAAAATGGGCAGTCTCCAGACATGCGCGCTCCAAAGGATAAATGAGTACCAAAGTTGTCTACGGGTGAGAATGGTCCGGATTAGATTGGATTGGAGTAAAATTAAAATCAATTCGTTATTTACAGTTTCTGAAAAATTGAAACCAATCTAATTCGTTTAAATCGTAGAACCAATTCAGACCAATCCATTTAAATACGGATTGGATTGGTTTAGGATCACGGATTTACATAATTAAATAACAAAAAATATATATATAATACTTTAATTTCATAAAAATATAAATATAACATCATTTTAATTTCACAATAACAACATATTTTTTCATAATAGTGACATACTGTTCTAAAATTTAAACAACCATAAGAAAACTGATTTCACCCTAAGTATTTAGACCATTACAAAATTAATACTAAAAACAAGCAAACAAAAGTAATAAAAGAAGATACTATGCGAGTTTAGGTTTGGATTTAAGTTTTATATAAAATAAGAGAAGATACTATGTAGGAGAGTGTATAATAAAAATATAGACTATTTGTATACGGTCCGGGTCGGTTCCAATCCGGAACCGTGAGGTTCAATCCGGAACCAATATGTGAACTACGAATTTTTAATTTCTCAATCCGAAATCGAATCACGGATTCAAAAAATCAATCCAAACCTACTAAATTGAACTGGACTGGATCAAATTACGAATTTGATGGGTTTCTTGCCCAGCCCTAAAGTTGTGGATATTATCATTTATTAATGCTTAATTTATTTTATTTATTTTTTTATACAGCATTAATGTATAATATATAGACATCCCAAAACTGTTCAAAATTTGTGACATTAATTAGGATTTTTTAATTTTGATTTGGCATAATTTGTTAAATGATTAAAGAAAACCACAGTGGTGATGATTTGAATAGATAAATAAATGAGTGACGCGTGGACAAAAGCCAGAATAGATGAGTGACGTGGACAGATAAATGATATTTTGACAAATAGATGACATGTGTGTAGATAGATGACAATTGAACAAATACAAATAATATGATTTTTCATATTATTATTTAGTGTGTTTGGTTTCAGTTTTTTAAATTTAGTTTTTTGAAAATTGAGTTTTTTATTTTTCGTATTTTTTTTGTTTTTAGTCAATATTTTTAAAATTTTAAGTAATTTTTTTATTTTTTTAGATACACCTTACTTAGATGTATTTAAAATAGTAAAATATTTATGAAAAAATATTTTAAAAAATTAGTAAATACACAAAAATACCAAAATATACTAAATTTTCATTTTTCTTTTTTGTATTTTTTGGTACTTAGTGTTTTTTCTTAAATTTTTTTTTCACAAATATTATACTTTTTAAGTGTATTTATGTTAGGTGTGTCTAAAATTTTTTTTAAAAAAATCCTCAAAATATTAAAAAAAATTATTAAAAACAATAAAATAGGAAAAAAAAATTAAAAACTATTTTTTAAAAACTAAAACCAAACAAACTGATTGTTCTTATAATCTCAAAAGATTTAAACTTGGGCATAATGGCCTAAAAGATCCACAAATAGATATCTCAACTGTATCCTTTGAGGTAAAATGAATTAGGATAAATTACAAATTTATTACCTGAGTTTTATTTAAAATACTAATTACTCTATGTGATTCTAAAAATTATATCGTGTCTCTTCAAATCTCTAATTGTATAACAAATGACTATTCTCATTAATTAACCATTAAAGCAATTAATAATTTTTAAGGAAAATGTTATGGACCCCAAACAAATTATCGAATTTTCTATCAAACCTCTCACATAGGTGTAGAACATACACAAATCACAAGTGTGTGGGTCTCACACTCATGTGAGAGGTTTGATAGAAAATTTGATAATTTATTTGAGGTCCTTAACATAACTCAATTTTTAATAATGTTATAAATGTATTTTAATTAACAATTCTTGTGATTTTATTGTTATATAGAATGGTACTTAGAATTTTTTTTAAGTAAATTACAAATACACCCTCCTGAGATTTTCTTAAAGTACAGACTACTCCCTGTGATTTAGAAAATTATAAATACCTCTTATTAGAATTTTTTATTTAATAGAATTAACTAAAAAAATAAAATTCATAATTGTTCTCCTATACAATAATAAAATTACATAAATTATTAATTGAAATATATTTCTAACATCATTAAAAATTATTAATTGACTTGATACTTTATTAATAAAAAAGACGATTTGTTATGAAATTAGAAACCTCATGGGATGTAATGTAATTTTTAGAACTATAAAAAGTGATTCGTATTTTAATTAAATCTCAGGAGATATATTTGTAGTTTACTCTTCTTTTTTTAAAACTTTGATAAATGACAAATTATAATAACAAAAATATTCAAAAATACTCATGATTATACACACCCATATAAACTTTTTGGTAATTTGCTTTTTTTTATCCTTAACATTACTTTTTTAATAATAGAGTAAGGGCTCGTTTGTTGGGCCGCGTGAAGGATGAGGTGTGGTCCACCAATGGCATATTTGGTTTGGGAATGCACTGACGGATTGAGACTCCAGGTGGATTAACAATCCAATACAACGGCTGGGGTAGCTTAGTTGTGGGAGAGCTGGGATTGAAAATCAATCTTGTCGGATTGATGTCCAAATACAATTTTGTCTCTTCCTTTACATCATTCAATCAATGAAAGAATGGCAATTGTGAAATTTCATATATTAATACCAGTCAAGAATAACAAAATAAAAAAGAATTATTATCATGATATTACTAATTTAATAGTGTACAAACAAATTCACTTTATCTTACATCTCTAATTTAATACTAACATATTAAGAACATCTCCAACCCACTAGGTATATAATGCTTGTTAATCAAAATGCCTAGCATGATTCACTTTTTTCAACTCCAATGCACTAGGCATATGATTAGGCATTTTAGCTCAACTCATATTCACTAGCCACATGTAGCTAGCCTTTAAGGCTAGGCAAAATGTATTTAATCATTAGGATTATTTCCCTCCATCTTTGTTGCTGATGTGGCATTCTATAAAGTTAATAGTATTTGGATAAATAGCTAAAATATAGAGCATGGTTAGAGTAGAAACATGAAGCAGTTGATAGACAAA